CTATCTTTCCGGATGAGTCAAGACCTTTAAAAATTCTAACAATTATTGAGACTCCGTGTCAAGAACTTTAAAAACTTAAACCAAAAGTGAGACTCCACACTGAGCTATAAAATGTTTTTGTGTGAGCCAAACATTGCATGTTTTTGTGTGAGTGAAACGCTACATGTTTTTGTGTGAGTGAAACACTCCATGTTTTTGTGTGAGTGAAACACTTCTATGTGAGTGAAACATTGCATGTTTTTGTGTGAGGGAAATGCTGCTTGGGAGGAAGACAGATCTGGCAGGTCTGTTACTCTGCAACTCCATTAGGACTTTTTTAGGTGAAGTGATTTTTTTTTATCTAAAATCTTTCTACTTACAGGATTAGAACTCAAAGTGAAGCACCACATCAATTGACAACAGTTGAAGCCTGTGTTTCAGAAAGCAGAAGGAGGCATTTTCATTTAAGCCACTCACACACATATATTAATAAAACACAACGCAGATAACTAACTTACGTTCATGGGAAGCCAAAACAGTAAGTCCTCTTCTGAGGCAGAAACTAAAGATGTAAAATTTATGAAACAGAAGCATCCTGATTCTACAAAATTCCTAGAAAAATGGGAAAAACAATACTAAATTGAACCAACATTAAAACCAGAGACCTAGAAAATGGTAATCTCAATTCTACAAGAAAAAAAACTTTGCTGAAAGGAAAGAAAGAAATAAAAATTAGAAGATCAATTAAAATGTGCTAAAGTATGACAAACAGAGTCCCACTTAAGAAGAGAACAGATTAATAAAGGTAAAGCAGAACAAAAAAATAAATAAGAATCAAAAACTAAACAAAAAGCAAAAATTGCTGCTTTGTTTGTCCGACCAAAAGATAATACATAATACATTGTGGTACCCACTAAACATAGGAATAGCACTAAATATTTTGTGTCTTTTTCGTCTGTAGAATAAGAGTTTGCAGATCATCATGATTTAACCTTGACTTATAACTGTTTGCTACTTGTGTTTTTCGTTACGTTTTTCTTCAACTTTATTTTTGTTTTGTTGTTAACATACATGTGTTGTGACCAGAGCTATAAAGTCTAGTTGACTTTCTTTAGTTTTATTAAATAAAATCACAAGGTCAGTTGTGAGTAGTCCCAAAGCTGTGTTTCGACCGCAGCTGACTCTGTGTCTGAAGGAGCCGACACACACACACACACATTCGCACACGTCGCGCTACACTATAGCATACTAAATGTGCTAAATAATAACAGTTTAATAATAATAAACAGTATTTATGTTTGTGTGAGAGATATACTGAAGCTTTGAGCTACATGAAGCTCGATGAAAATTATGTAATCCAAATTTAGAATAATGATAAACATTACATGCTACTAAAGTTGAAAAATGAAAGCAACAGATTTATTTTATTTATTCAACACCACAAATTGTATGTCACACAAACACTGATAATTAAATTAAACCCACTATTAAAAAAGTTAACTGAACTGTAGACTGCATTACTGAACTGGACTCGGCCCTGTTTTTGTCCTGGAATCTGGTCCCACGTTGTCCATCTGACTTGTTCTGGCCGTCACTACATTGATTAATGCCATTTCAAACATTAAATGTATTGAATAAAAGAACTGAGGGGATATTTAAATAAATCATCCAACATATCTCTCTCTCTCTCTCTCTCTCCGACGTCCTAACTGTGCCTGAGCCAAGCCTCGTTCAGAAACGGTCCACCGAGGGGGAGGACAGCCTCTCCTCATGGAAAAAGAAAAAAATATATATGGATAAAATAAAATAAAAACACAGTTGGATGTAGTGTGATCAAAATAAACACAAGTAAATATTATTAAGAACATTAATTTACCTGCTGTAAATTAACTACTGATTATCACGGAGTAAAGTCCGACATCGTTGACTCAGTTCTGGTCCACTGAACGACCGGTGTGGGCTGTTAGACGAAGCGGTCCCACTTGCCGTCAAATCTGTCAACTCCTCTCCACAATCCAGCCAAAATCCAGTTTTACCTAGCGTTAGTAGCTGGGTTAGCTGAACTTTTAGCTCACAGGAAGAGGAGGCCACGGCAGCATGCATGCGCATTAAGCGAAGGTACAAAAATCACAGCGCCAACTAATGACACGGCATGGTAACTGCAGCACCTGACCTGCTCCTGAAAGAGACAAGCGAGGCCCAGATACCCCAGCCAGCGAGAAGAGGTTCTCTGCAGGCCAAAGGTGGGCGTTTCTGGCTAATAGGCATTTGTAAATGGGCAAACACTGATTGGCTATCTGTATTTGCTGCTCTTTAGGTAAGTTACGGCAGCTTTTTTTTTTATTTAAACTGAAGGTTTCTAAAAACCAGCGTTAAATCTACTGTCAAACCCAAGAAGATTTTCTTTTGTTCTTGGGTTGTAGGCTGCACCTGACACAGGTTGCCTTGAGTGTGGTCTGGGTACAATGAAATATGAAGCATTTGAAGCGAAACCTGCTCCCATTTGTCCAAAAACTCTGGTCTCAATTAAAGATCATGAGTCCTATGATGAGATAACGACCCAAAACAAAAGCTAAGAACAAAATTTGCTCTTTAGAAGTTCTTCTATGAGATCCGATCTATGAAAGGAGCTGAAACATTGAGTAGGATTGACCCTTAAAATGTGAGACATCTGAGGAAGTTAACCAGTAAACAGAAATACCTGTTCCAGTTGCAGAAATCTTACATAAACTGACAATCACCCATCTGTAG